TGTGGGAATCGTCTCATAAGCGGCTGCACGACAATGCTCAATAAAGGGTTCAGTCCACAGGGACAATATGGGCGGGGTAAGTCACCCTTTCTCCACGACTCATTGATGCGTCACTATTTTCAATCGTAAGACCATTAAGTGGAGGAGAGAGTCAATGAGTAAAGCCGAAGCTTCATTGTTCCTGCCCATGTCCCCGCCCACATAGTTAGTGTGGACAGTACCTTTTTGAAATGTTTCGTTTAGTGCGTCTTTGACGTAGCTCTCCATGCTAATATTATTGGAAATGCGTACTACTGTAGACTGAGCCCTCTGCTCGGGCTGGTACTCAGGCTCAGAACAATTTTGTTATAATAAGTGCTATTCTTCGCCGCAGCAACATTCCTAGGTCGTGGGCAAAAACCTGGCCATAGCCAGAATGTGTCACCGCATTTATTTCACTGTTTTGGTTGCTAGAATAATCTGTCAGCTTATACAGTCCTGTTCGCATGTTGGGCGTGTCAGGACAGAACTGGGTTTGATGCCAGGCCCTTCTCCAGCAAACGCTGAGGAGCGTAAGCGACAGCAGTCGATGGAAAATGAGTTGGCCTCGTGCTCCTAGGCAAGAAATTCACCCTTAGGATAACAAGAACATGCGTCACTGTGTCGGAGAAGTCAAACGGGATTCAAGAAAAAAAAAGACAGTTTCTCGGTTGTGAGTTACACGCTGTGGAGAGAATGCGCCTCAACTGAATATCTTGCCTAACAATGTTGTCCATGAGGGATCTCAGAGCAAATACCTCTGACCCTACCTGCATTTGTCTGAGAGTTAGGTCGTCCATGCATGCATGGGTAGAAGTAAAGTTACCTTCTCCTTCTCTACTCGTCGCGTCTGAATTCATTGAGGACGTTCAGGAGCGGATATCGGCTATGAGCATTCGTATCCTTTTCTAACAAAATTCGATGTATCACAAACTGCTCTTGTATGATAGCTATTCTCGTCAGTTCTCAACTCGGTTACTGTGCTTTTACTCGCTATTTCATATTTCTCCAAGCTCTAGAGAGTGTATAGCTGCATTTATTTTAGATCGATCAACAGATCGTTCACCATGGCAGCATGGTGTGCAGAAAATCTACGCGATCTCGAGGTAAATGTGGTTTGTCTTAGCGCGATAAACTGTGCATCTATAGTAGCTCAGGGGTTCGTAGGATCAAACCACCCCCTGAGGCTGTTCGCCCAACCATACTTTCAGTGAGGAAAGCTGTTAAAAATTCAGCCTACTTTCTAGACTGTAGCAGTAGAGACGGGAATCAGCGCCGAGACATGTCCACGCTGCCAATCATTTCGCGTTATGCTGCCCACTTTCATTGAGCACCACTTCTAGAGCACAATACCAAAAACAGTAAGAGTACCTCCGCACACGTAGCTGTAACAATTCACGAATCTTGACATATGTATTGGGAAGGCAAGCCCGCGACCACAGATTGTGGGTAACGGAACCCACATAGGAACGAAGAAGGGCCAGGTATCTGAGTAGCGGAGAAAAGCAGCGGAAAAACAGCCGAAAATGCCCTAAATAGGATTCCCATATCGACTCCAACTTGTACATGCATGCAATGAAGAAAACGCATGTTTGTACGAATTTCCACTCGTCGTTATCATAAAGATATCAGCTCTTTTATCTTATCACCGGGGGGGTCACTCTCACATTCAGCGAATGGAGAGAGATGTACAGTGGCTACTAGCTAGTAGCTAGCAGCCGGTTGGGGTCGGCATGGGCCTAAGGGGCGCCAATGGGCCTAATTGGTTAGCTTAAGCGGAATTCTTGCCGATTTTCACTTTCTAAAGGTAGCGCAGCCGTTCCGCACTCTCTTCCGGCATCGTCTGACAGATTTGAAAGTATAAAAGCGCTTTATTTATCGCGGAAAGTGCCTTTAATGTGATGGGCACACTCGTGTTCGATTGGAGAGTTGCCAAAATCAAATGTGTGCGTTGTTTTCAAATGAGTGGTCTCACATAGGCGTGAGGTGGGCCAGGTGACTGTGCGGTGCGGGGGGGCGCTCAGTACCGCTTTAGTGTGAGGGGAAGATGGGGACCTCAAAGACTACGTACGCAGGGAAATGATCGATTCCGCAGGCATCAACGCCATCCTAATAGAATTGCTTTACTGAATACTGTTCACCTACTCTGAACTATTTTTTCAAGCTTATGCAATACTCCGCAATTTGCTTAGGATAATCTAGAGTCGGAAGGGAGTTTATTAAATTGAAGCTTTTATTGTGAATTTTATTTTTATTTATTTTGAAGTTATTTTTTATTTATTTATTAAAGCTCACAAGGTTATTAGCCCCACTGCATTTCAAGTATTTTGTAATTCAGGGCTGGAAAGCTTCTGGTCTGGCTCTTTCGACACCGTCTAATGAGTGCGCCAAGTTGTTCGACGGTGCTCTTCGACAACTCATCTCATGGTCAGATTGTGACGCTCTTGGAGGCCTCATCAAGACACTTGAAGATATGAAAGCTGCTGATCCACAAGCAGGTAAACTTTATCCATCTAGCAAGGTAAGTACGGTATGCGCGACAATGAGGGGTGATCGCGTCAGTTCGCGAATTTGCACTTCCTCCTCTAAAAGCTTCTTTCTCTGTAGTAGTGAATGCACCAGCTTGGAGGTGACAAAGCCAGTGATAAGGGCACCCACAACATCGCTCCCATAATTTATCCAACCCACCTTTGTTAGCCCCGCCCACCGTTCTATCCAGCCATAATAAGAAAGGCCCGCCAAAGAACGTAGGCGGGGAGAATTTTGCCCATATGCCCATAAATCAGCTGAGATCAGCTGTGGAGAAAATATCTACCACAAATTCGATGTTCAGTGGTTTTATTCGATCACACTATGTACCCTTCTTCTCCTCTTCCGACAAAGGCCGTTTCCGGGAAGGTTTTCCCTGCCACTGACTTTCTAAGCATCTTGACATCCCTATTTGAGCCCCACTACCCGGAATAGTCGGTTGCTGCTCCGCTTTTGAGCCATTTAGGTCCGGTTCAAAAGCTGTGCGCGTAATTCGCGTAATTTCGCCTTTGGAGCTGCGAAGTCGTTGCGTCATCGCAACTCGGATCTACCAGACGATGTTCTGGTACAGTAATCAAATTGATTAATACGAACCACCAGCTTTCAGTGCTTCCTCGAGCATTCCGACTTGGCCTGGAAGGACTTGGCACCGGAACGTGTGCTCGAGTCAATGAGACCTTCAGAAATAACCTCGAGCAGGTCTGCGCTGACGCTCAAGCGTACGGTAATCCAAGGGAGATGAAACATGCGGAAGCTGTTCAGTTGTGGGGCCAAGGGTGAGTGAGGTGCTTAGATTACTAGAGTTTTGGTTTTCGACTTCTTCGGAATTTCAGAAAGATGAGGGCTGCCGCGAATATCTGGGAGGATATTCTCATTGAATATCCAACCGATTTGATGGCAATTAAACTCGCTCACGAGGCGTACTTCTTCATGGGCGATGGTAAAGGAAAACGTGATTCGGTCAAAGCTGTGATACCAAAGCACAGCAGGAACGGAACCCTGCTACAGGTAGTCCAGTGGGATTGTTTTACTGTACTTCACTTCGTTAGCCAAGGCACGTCCCGCTGGGGATAGTCCCATTTGAAGTTCCACTTCTGGTATCGCCCTTTTCCACATCCCCCGTGGTTGTTTTACTCTAGTTCACTTCATTATAGTCAGGGCACGTCTTGCCTTTGAGAAAGCTGTTGCAATTTACGACCCCTTCCCTTAGAATGCTCCCGTTCTGGCATGCCCCTTTCCCCATCCCCCACCCTACTTGCTATTTCCTCCAAACTTTCCCCGATTTTCTTCTACTTTCTCGGACTAAATATCCTTTACTTCTTCCCAATAAAAATGGAAAAAAAGTAGGGAGACGCTGGGAGGAGGGGGTGGGAGGACTGAGAG